TCCTGTGAGGCAATCATCACATCATCTCCATTTGAAGAATGTGTACTTTGGGGCTCATGTGGATAAATCATCTATCTGCTCAAAGAGACCATAAATGATGAAGGCAGGACTTGAACCTGATCTGCCTGACCACAAACCATTTTGCCATAATGCACCAATTCCTTTCAATTCTAAAACTTCTTTTTCAAAGGGTGTTTGGTAGAATTAATTACTCTGGTTCACTGCATTTTGTAATAAATTTAAGGTAGATTTTGTTTGTTTATTCAAATTCTTGCCAAAAACTTTTCAAAAGGCATAACAGCAATCCTGAGGCAGAAAAAGAAATCACTGGCCTGCTGTGTGCATCATTCTCAATACTCCAGTTCACTCTAAGGTGTTTGAGAAAAAATGAAGAAGAAATGTATTGCTTTGAGGCTATAACCCCAAATTTTAGTGGTTCTGTAACTATTTCTCTCATAATAAACTTCGTGGATGTCTACTTGGCACTCTTCAGTCTTCTAAAACGGAAAGAAAAAAATAATGTGAAACTGGGTTTCTTGAATGAATGATTAGTTGGGTTCTATTCAGTCAATAAGTTTCATCTAACGTCTAGCTGATTATTATTTTAATTGCTTTACTATATTCTATTCAGCTAATATTTCATAGTCATATATATATGTGTATACATATATATGTATATATATATGTGTGTGTGTGTGTGTGTGTGTGTGTGTGTGTGTGTGTGTATATATATATATATATATATATATATATATAATTTTAAAATCTGGTTTTATCTTTTTTTCCAGTGCTCAAATATAAACCCACAAACCTAAAAGACATCACTATTTCTTCAATATAGTATTTACCTATTTTGAGTTTCAGACCTTATTGAGAATATAACAAAAGCAATGAATACTCTACTCAGAAAACTACATATTCATCAAAACACACAAAATGTGCCAGACAACACCAAGATAAACAGTCCAGCCCTATGGTGAGGACAGGCATTGGCCTTATACTGCCTGTAGAGGCCCTCTCCCTTCTTTTGAGAGCTGTTCTTCCCAACTCCAACAGGCAGGAGCTGCCACCTTTTTATAACTGCTCGCTCGATACTGCAAATGACCCAAGCCAACCCAGTCAGAATCCCTCCATGGATTTTTATAACTGAATCAGAGACAGAAAGTCCCTTTGGGCGGCAGAAAGTACACAATGTGAAATTCGGGAACCATTGGTTCCCTGTGGAGGAAACCTGTAACTGTGAGAAAGAATAAACCAAAAAGGGCAGAAAAGTGCCAACAGCACTCAGTCACCTGGTTCCCATTGTTGTGGAAGCCCAGACCCAATCCTGCTCTCCTGGTTTGGTTACCAGCCCTAACGTTCTCAGTGATAAACTTCCAAAACCCTCTGTATTTTAAATTTTTGCCTAAACTCATCTGTGTTTCTATAGCTTATACCCAAAAGACTCTAATTAAATAATGGCTACTTCTAAATACTATACTTGTTTTAAACAAGTTTTATGTCCTTTAAATTCTTCTATACAGATACCTCCTCCACATATTTAAATAGGTTTTCAAATATAATTTCTAAAGGCTCACATTTTACTCTGTATAAAAATCTTTTAGAATATCTGTTTAAAACGAGTCTTGGCTTAGACCATTCTTCATGCTCCACACACTATTAAAATATAATTTTAAGAAGCTAACTGCCTGATCATTTTTAGTTTAATTCCAAATGGAACAAGGCAAATTGCCTTCTTAAATCATCTTTTTCTTTATGTATTCAATTATATTCTCTGCTCAAAATACTTAAAAATTGGCAGTCATCCATTCACTGATGGATATTTTAAGTTAGAAAGCAGTAACACATCAAATTAACCACACAAAGTCAGTATTATTCTGATTGAGAATTACAGCCACAATGGATTTGAAAATTCCTACCTTAGTTGCAGTTTTTATATTTCAATGAAATAGACTTTGACTTAATAGAATGCAATGCAGTCCAACTACAATCAATCCAACAAACTTTTAGTTCACTCATCTCTTACTGTTACCACCGATTTCCTTCCCTCTAGTCATGGCCTTGAAAATTCTCTGAATGCTGCTGCATTGGCAAGGTAATAATAGTAATGACTCTTGTGTTATATACTATTACTATTCCTAGTCTGTGCATCCCTATATAATGCTATGAATCTAGTAGACTCCAAAAACAGTTGAATCTTGAAGTTAGAAAAAGAACTTGGAAATTGTCCAGTCCAATCACCTTACTTCATAGTAGCAAAAATTAGTTAACATGGTTAAGGTCAACAGAGTTAAAGAAAGAATTAGTATACAGATCCAATGAGCATTTTCCCACTGTACTCAGAAGGTTCCCAATCCCTACAGAAGATGCCCAAATGATAAAATACATATATGGTTCCCCTTTAATGCTCCTAAAGTATGTTTATTTATAAATGTTCTTAATACAAATCCAAATGAATTTTAAAAACATAAAATTGCTATATTCCTGACAAATAATTTCCTATTAATTCTGATCACATTGGAAACATAGGAAAAGATTCTTAATTTGAATGATCTATTCCTTCTCTGCTATGTTTTCTCAAATGCCCCCATTCATATACAACACAACGCTTGTTCCTTCCTAATAATGCTGACCTATTTATCCTCACATTATAACATCGGCTTCGGTGCACACAAAGTCATATAAAAACGCTGATCTAATACTAGATTTTGTCACCTAAACTGAAATCAACCAGCCACACTCAGCATCTAAGTGCTTAGATTTCATCTTTATATACATTTTCTTTCTTTTGTTCAAAAATAATAAAGAAAACAGACATTTTGAAAAAGAAGGCTGTGCAACAGACTTTCCTTATGTCAACTCAAGAGCCCACAAAAATATCTGGGCAAAAATATGAGGAGCATTTTTAGCAATCTTTGCACAGTGGCTGGCACTTTTTGGTACCTACTATGTGCTGAATGAAAAACATGGTTATATTACGTACTGTGGAAACTTGCCTCCTCTGGATGACTAAACTTAGAATTCTAACTTTTCTTGAAAGCAAAAAATAAAATAACACGAACATTACTTTTATAAATGTTAAGTAGTTTCAAAGTGTTTCCAATGAGCAAAAAAAAAAAAAACCCCTAAAATAAATGTAGCAATTCACAGACATAAGGTAGCAACATAAGTGGTTACAGTAAAACATGTACAATTATAAGATTTTCTAAAGTCAAGTGGAATTCAGACTAATGCCCAGAGGTCACACTCTGTTTTAGCAGCATATTATTGCCACTACTTTACTAGATTAAACGCTCAGGCATAGCACTCTCCTGAACAAAACATCAGAACTCTGAATGAGATAAAAGCATCCTTAGACATGAAACTAACAACATTAATTTTAGAAAATAAACTAACAACATAAGTAATTTTTTAAAAGTTTAAAGAATTAGACTTAACTGGAAACTGCAGACACAGGAAAAATTCATTTTCTTTACTGTAACGAAACTTAAGAGTTTTAGTGAAGTAATGTATGCTGTTGTAAATAAAAGCTTACATTCCTGATTGCTAAAAAAAAAAGTTGTCAGAAAGTTAAAATGAACTTCAATGGATCAGGCATTAGACTGACAGAAATAATCATTTCTCAGCCTTATTAAAAACACAATCAATAATGATACTGTTTCACCTTTCCCAAGCTTGGAAAAGAAAATACAAGTACGATGCTTTTGAGCAATTTTAAAGAACTTCATTAAATTCAGACTGTTCTTTAAAAAAAAAAAAACCCAACGTGGTTTTCTATCATTTCTGTTGTGCTGAAAAGGGCACACAGACATCCATAGAAATCAAACGTTCAAGCGTAGGGAAAGCAAGCTTACATTTTCCCCCAGATGCTAAACCGCAGTGGGTAAGGTCATGGTCAAAATTCACAGGCTCATTTAAACTTTCATGGCTCAGCCAACAGTTCCTATCATGTTTCCTGATCCTAAGGAGATTAAAACTGCCGGAGTTTCTCGCTGTTGAGATCAGCAGGAGGCTATTTCAAACCCTCAAACCGCAGTCCGCAGAGCCCGCAGCGGCGCATCTTCCACCACCTCCGGCTGTCCGTTAAGCCAGCTAACCTTTCCAAGCGTCCTCCTCTAGCCTCTTAAAGGAACCCCCAAACGCGTGCAGTCGACTCTGGACCGCCTTCCATCGCGTCCGCCGAGACCCCTGCTGGGGTCACCCCCTGGCCGCCCTTCTGCAGTCGGTGACAGGGGCCTGGTTCCCAAGAAGGGGGAGGAGGTGTGCGGAGGAAGCCTCCCCGCAAAGCAGCTCTTCAGCCCGCACAGCAGCAGGGCGGTGCAGAAGAGGGGCAGAGGAGATGCTAAACCCCATGGCCATATTTACACTGGAGGATTTTTGGTGGAGTAGTCCAAAACGGTCCTAGTCTCCAATAATAACCGAGAGAGAGAGAAAGAACCTAAGCACTAAAGCTGCTGTCTCGATCTCCAGTATTCTCACTCCCGTTACCCCGTGGGCAGGCTCCGGGCGCTCCTACCTCGAACGGGTACACCTGCCCGCCCCTCGGAGGACCAGACCGCCTCCGCCGCGCCCCGCAGAAGGGGAGATCGCCCGGACACTGACGCCAGCAGCCCCCGGCGAGGTTGACAGCCCCCGGCGAGCCGTGCCCCCACAAACTTCCCGGTTCCTGGGCTGCGAGGACAGACCCTCGGGAAGACGGACCGGGGCGACACTGGTATCGTCCCCAGAACTCAAATGCAGATGGATCCCTCTTGCTGCATCCGGACCTAGGTCCAAACGGGGTCCAAGTGGCATCTGGGCGGCCGGATGGAGCAAGCGCGCGCCCGAGGATGGGGCAGAGGCGCCGCGGCAGGAGGGCAGCCCGGGAGGGCAAGCAGCCGGAGGGCCAGGGCCCCGCTCGGGCTCCCAGCCCGTCAGCAGCTGCAGCAGGAGGAGGAGGGGGAGAGAACGAGGAGGAAGAGGAGGAGGAGAGAGACTGCAGCCGCAGCCCGAGCTCTTACCGAGTGGTTTACCCCCCACATCAGGACGCTGAGCAGCGGATCGCTGGCCCGAAAGAGCTTCACTTTCTGCGCTACGAAGTGCTTCTTCTTAGTCTTGGTCTTGCTCGCCAGCACGGAGGACCCCAGGTTGCCGGGGGTCGCCATGGCCGCCGCCTCGGTCCCCTCCACCGTCGCGCTCCCAGGCCGGGGACCCGCCCTCTCTACTCGCCGGCCCGGGGAGGCAGCCGCATCCCAACGGCGGCGGCCCCGGCGCGCTCGGCCCCGCTCCGCCCGCCGCCGCGCTCGGCCCCGCTCCGCCCGCTCGGTCCGGCTTAGGAGGGACGAAGAGCTCCGCTCGCACCCCGGCCGGTATCCGGCGCCCGCCGCGGCTCGGCGCTCAGCCCGCGGCCGGACCCGGCGCGCAGCGAGCGGCTTCCGCGTTGGGCGCCGGCGTCATGACGCAGGGGGCGGGCGGGCCGAAGCTGCGGCGCCGCGGGCGGGGCGCGGGGCGCGGCCGCGGGACCGCTAAGCCGGACCCTGGCGCTCGGGTTCCACCGAGCCCGGGCCAGACGGGCTCAAAGAGCGCGGCCGAAGTCCGGGCGGCGTCCCCGGGACTGTCGAGGAGGCGCTGGGAGGACGTGCGGCGCAGGGAGGTGCGGTGTGGGGAGAGGGAAGACTCCCGCATGGCGTCGTCTTCTGATCCCTCCGGAGGAAAGCGGGAAGGACGGAGAGAGGGGGCGACGGAAGAGAGGAGCCCCCAGAGGCTGAGGTCTGCAGAAGGAAGGAGGCTCAGGGAAGCGCCTCATCCTGGTGCCACGAGTCAGGAGAGCTAGTGAGACTCGATATGCTGCTTGCAGACCAGGGCTAACGTGGCACCGAGGAAAGGACCTGGGCACATCGTCGGCCACCTTCCCAAGTGGCCCCGAAATGAATGTACGAATCCCTTTGTTTCTTTAACCTTTTGGACCCTGGACCTGGGCTTTTCCACACTCTCTAAGACATGTGGAAGGTAGATTTAACACCTAACAGTCTGAGCTGTCATTCCCAACACCACCCTCTACCCTAGACAGGACCCTGTGTTTTTTGGTTTGGCCAGGGAAATCATGCCCCGACCTGCCCCTTCAGCTTCAAATCCCACACCGTATTCCTTGCATCCTTCCTTTTTTCCATTCCACGCACCTTCTTGCACAGAAATCTGTCCGTTGTCTTCATCCGCATACACCTATATTGAGCCCTTCTTAATGCTTAATACCAGGCCCATCTCCGGAAAGCTGCCATTCAAAATGAGTCATCCTATTCTATGTATTTACCCTGGCTCAGCCCACTGGGCAAGTATTATTGCTCCACCCAAATACTATAGGGAAGACCTACTGTGTGCTTGGTAATCTGTTTAGTTGTGTCAGGGAGACAAGGGATGACAGACCCTTATCCCTTAAGGATCTTAGCCTCATGCGAATGGGGAGGCCACAGGTCATGTGGTCACCTTCATTTGCTCCTCTTTGTGCTTTGCTCTTAAAACATAAGGGTTGCCCCAAAGTCCTCTTGTTCTTCCTTCTTTATTCTATTTTCCAAAATGATATCTACTCCCTCTGCTTCAACCATCACCAATCTTAGTGGTAATAAATAAATAAATAATAAGCAAACCTAAATTTGCAGTGAGAACATAAGGTTGGACAATTCTCCCACATATTTGAGCAAATCAGTTAAACTCTCTGAGGCTCGAGTTTTGTTTTGTTTTTTTAACAGTCTGGCCCTGGTCATTAAAATCCTGCCTTACCTACTTTATAGGATGTTTGTTAGAAACAAAATCATCAGTAGGCAATATCTAGGAAAAGCCTTTTATAAATCCTACAGAATTACATACAAACAAAGATACAATGTAGGGTACTTGCAGGTAACCCATACTTCTCCCCTGAGAAGTGCCTGGTTGAACATCTGTATATCAATTGTTCACAAGCACCTTTTAAAAGTGTCTAAAATCAAGTTCAAAATCCTCCTGCATCCCACATGTTGCTTTATTTTTCTATTATACTGGAAATGGCATTCATATTGCTCAGGTACCTCAGCCAGAAGTTCATTTGTTTAACAAATTTTCATTGCCCAGCCTTGAAAGCTTCAAATCATCATTGATTATTCCTCTCATCATCACTCCACATGAACCCCTTTACCAGGTTCTGCCCTTGAAAACAATTGTGCACAAGTATTACTCTTTCCCTGGTTCTATCACGGTCCTCCAATTGGAAATTAATCCATTCATTTCAGTGTTTCAATAGCACTTTATTTGTTCCATAATAGCTCTGTTGCACTTAATTGTATATTAATAATGCAAGAAAGTAGGCTTACTGTGAATGCTGGACACCTTAATTTAGTGATGACAAAGCATTGGATACCTGTGGGCACTGTCAGATGAAGTCTTACTTAGAAGGGCAGCAAGCTATGGATGGGTGCACAAGGTATCACCCCTGTTAGGAGCAGATAGTGGCATAAGCATGAAGATGAAAATCCATGAGATATTTTCAGGTGAGGATACTTGTAGGACAGAAACTTTTTCCAGCTATATTGAGATATAATTGATATAACATTGGTTAAGTTTAAGATGTACAACTCAACTATCTGATGCAGTCTCTATTGTGAAATGACTATGACATTAAGGTTAGTTAATAGCTCCATCATATAATTCCCATTTGTGTGTGTGTTCCTGTGTGATGAGAACATTTGAGACTTACTCTCTTAGCAACTTTCAAAAATATAATCTATTGGGTTGGCCAAAAATTCCATTATATATTTTTTTCCAAAAAATAAGAGACACATTTTTCATTTTCACCAATATATTGATTTGGATATTTTGAGTATGTTGACTATCTCCTGTTGTTGACTTCTAGTGGGTAGGGGCCAGGGGTACTGCTAAACATCTCCCAATGCCTAAGACAGCCCCATAGCAAAAACTTACTTGGCCAAAATGTCAGTAGTACCAAGAAACTTCACAAACCACTTTTAACACATTTCATTAATCATAGCACCTTCTCCATACACTGCACAAATCTTTTTTTGTGTGTTTCAGTTGTTCTTTTACTTTTCATGAAAAAATAAAGCCTAATACACTGCAAATGTTGCATATTTTATTCCATTTCAATATTAAAATGGCTGCACAAAAATTATCACCGATTTTGGTAAGTTTTTTTAAGTGCACACTTATATGACAGCTGTCACAACACACTGTGGCAAAATTATTTCAAATTAACTTAAAGACAGATAAGTACTACTAGAGCCATCATAAGGAAAAAATGAACTTTTTGGCCAACCCAATACTATTTTTAAGGGACAGAATTTTTGTTTAACCTGTTGTGGATGACATTTATTATAACACTACTCATGAATATGTCATTAAATGATTTTGCCAATGACATTTCACATTAACTTTGTATTTTGCAGAGGGTGTGTGTGTGTGATGCAGGAGTTTTAGAGTCCCAAAAATGGCCTCAGAAAGTACGTAATCCAATTTTCAAATTATATACATAAGACAATTGAGATCTAGAGAAATTTAAGTGATTTCCTGACTTGCTGGGAGACAAACCCTCTGAAGGCAGATCCATTTTGTACTTGCTCTCTGTCCTTCCGATGAACCTTTCATAACCCCTTCTCATAGCACCTATAACAAAGTTTTGGTGAATAAAAGAATTTTCCTCTCTCATAACAAAGTTGCAAATAAAAATTACACACTCAGGAAATGTTTGTGTAAGGTTCCATTAAAAAATACTGTATACCTCACTGGTGTGGCTCAGTGGACTGAGCACTGGCCTGTGAACCAAAGGGTGGTGGTTTGATTCCCACTCAGGGCACATGCCTGGATTGTGGGTCACCACAATTGATGTTTCTCAGGTCCTCAGTGGGGGGCACACGAGAGGTCACCACACATTGATGTTTCTCTCCCTCCCTTGCCCTCTAAAAATAAATAAGATAAAAAACCTTTTAAAAAACTGTATTGGGAAATTAGGTTAGGTTAGACTTATATTTAAACTTGAGGGGTAAATACTACGTGGATTTAGCAAACTAGCAGTTTGATCGCTGATTGTGTGTGTGCGTGTGTGTGTGATAATAACACAAGGCATATGTCCTTAGTTCAGTGCCTAATTCAGGCTGCTTATGTTGTCAAGGGTTGAAGCACCCAAACTACCAGCATTCAACAAGGGTCTTGATGAGAGGCATGGCTAGAGGAAGAGAAGCAAGGAAGTTCCATTTCAGGATGGGCAAGCGGTCATGCCAGTCAATGAGAATGCTGCTCCCAATCCTTTTCATCTGGCCTGTTGGGCTGTTTATCCAGGTGCCAGAGCTGCAAGAATTGCTCCAGCAGCCAAGTTCACTAGGAAGAAGGAAGGAAATGTTGGCAAGATTGAAAGCCTCCCAATACTGATTTGTTTCTGTCTGTGGTCACTTTTTAAAAAACTTTCTTTTACTTTAACCAACTTTATTTACTATCCTAGAAGATTATGGCGAAAGTATTATGTTGACTAATGTATGCAGTACCAGAAATGGAGGTTAAAATAGGGTGGATGCTCTGCTTTTTTTTATTACCATTTTTATAAAAAAATATTTCTTCAATTGAATAATTCCTATTAGAATTCTTCCTTCAGAAGAGGAATTCAGTAATTTCCGTAGTACTCTTTGGAAGCTTCTATGCTTTTCATTGCTCTGTGAGGAGATCAGAGCAAGATGTAAGACATTCAATTGTTTGTAGTGTTTCCAGAACCTTGCCTTGAAATGCAATTATTTTGGAAGACCGTTATTAAAGTGCATATATAGTCAAACCCAGCCAAAATGTAATAAATGGGATCCAAGAATTCAAACGTGACATGTGAGTTAGTTTTGGGAGAGGGGGAATTTGTAGACATGATGGAGCACAGCTTGTCATCTGAGTTCTGAGGGTCTGTGCTGCCCAAATCCCTTCTGGACCGGCTGTGGTTTGGCACCAGCTGGTAGGGGTTGCCCACTCAACTGAAATATTGATGATTGTTCTGGCTTCTGCACATGGCTGGGACCTCCAGGACAGTGGCAGCAATTCCAAGGATCTACCACTTAGTTGGCAGCTATTTTGTTGCCCTGACTTGGGGAGATCAGACTAGGAGAAGACTGGGTATAAAGAAGCTCACACATAGAGTGACCATGTCCCAGCCTGCCTCAGTTCTGCCCCTTCCCCAAACAGAGAGTAAGGGCTTTAGCAGCCCCCTTGGAAGACAGGAAGCTGTGTGGGGGACAGAAGTCAATCTCCAATGTCATTATATCTCTATTATATATACCTTCATAATAGAAGTGGATATTTCTAACATTGGGAGAGCACTGAAATGAATAATAGTAGATTCATATGGCAGACTGTACTATGATCAATAAAAATGGTATTTTCACAAAACCATAATGGCAACATAATCATGAGGTTAATGTAAATGAAAAAG